AGTGATCCAATCTTCCCCATATTTCATATTTAAGTTTTTCTAATAAAAAAGTGAGCACAAACTAAATTTCATCGAAATAGGATGAAATTTAATGTTTCCGCCCACAAGAGTAGAAGGCGTGGCAATCATTCCATCTTTACCAAATTTCATAATTCCCTATTTCTAAGTAAACCTAGAGCACATGTCAAGTTTCAGTGAAATTGTTGCAGGTTTACTATTATTTCCACCTGCCTCCATATAGTCGAAACACTGTGCGACGGCATGCATTTCTATTCTATTTATAGGAAGGGTAAAGGAGTGGTAAATAAATACAGGGATATACATCCATATGTAAGTATATTTCTAATTGAATTACAGAGAGTTTGAATTGAAAAGTATTAAATTTTCCTTTTAATGTGACTACAACCTAACAACTTTTGAAACATCGGAAACCATCGATATATCGATGTTTTTCTGGTATCGATGTTACTCCCCAAAATTTGCATCCCTACACACACATGTGCTGTGAGCAAGTTTTAAATTTTTTATATGCACAGCACACGTGTGTGAGCGTAAAATTTTAGGATGTGCTGCGCATGTGCGTTCAAATACGCAACCTGGTATTATGAGGTCCTTTCAACCAGAAAATAAATTTTTAACCGACTTCCAAAAAAGGATGTTACCGCATAACTTTGGACCTCGTCAACCGATTTCGATAATTCTTTTTGCATCGGAAAGGTAGTGTCTGTAGATCTGTAGATCTATATATATAGATATATATATATATTTTTAAGTCGGTTTTTTTTTTGCTAAAAATTACTTGCTTGACTTCAAGTTTTTTTTGCATCGAGCTTTTTTCGACATAGCTTAAATTACTCTATCAGATATGTAGACGCTAAGGTATTATTAAATGCATATAAATTTAATTACTATCTTTCGTTTTGTTACTTATGAAATAATTTTCACGTTAAATAAAAAACTACGTTCCACACCCGTTTACTTATTAGTTATTATATGGTAGGAGAGCTTCTCAAACCATGTTGATGCAATTTTTTCATGTTAAGTTGTTGAAAAATAGTAAATATCTAAATCCCGGGACTGATCCCGGGATCCCGGGATTGAACCAACGACATCCCGAAAATCCCGGGATCGTGAAAATCGAAAAAACTAACATCCCTAATATGTACCTACCTATGCTAGTGACATGAGCAATGAGAATCTTTGCAATAGTATATTAATAGGTTTTTAGAAATTTTTAAGCTGACTAAAATTGTAAATGAAAAATAATAGAAAATTTATTTTTTATTTTGATTGTTCTAAGCTAAGTAAAATAATGTTTATCTTTTAAAATACGTTAAGGGGATCAATGAAAGTATGAAAACTATTTTGCTTCATAAGTAACGATATAAGTTTTTCTTCTCAAAAAGTTTTTAAATCAGTGTTTAACAGTAAATCAAAATATAAATTTTAGAAAAAAATCACTTTTATTGGCTCTAAGATACACAGAGTTGGTTTATAAAGTTTGATGTATGACTATCTGTGTAAAGAATTTAATTCCCTACAAAACTACTTTAAGGTTTTTCTTATGTCTGTGAAGCTGGCAGGCGGTATGGCGCAAAAAGTCAAAATAACTGTTCAGAGTAGCTGTTCAATAGTTCTAGAGTTCTTGAAAATGAAAAAAGTTCTGGATATTTTGACAAAAAAAAGTGATTAATAAATTGTGTATGCCAGATTCACGCAGCATACGACATGTAAAAAGGCACTAAAAACTGTTCCAAGTAGCTTTTCAAAGTTCTAGAGTTCCTGAAAAGGAACAAAAAAGTTCTGCAAAATTTCGTAAAAAAACTTTTTCAAAAAAGTCGACAAAGTTGAATGTTTGAAAAAACTGTTCTAAAGAGCTTTTTAATACTGAGGGGGAAAAAACTTCTGCAACTTTACTCCGAAAAAAAGATTAGTTTTTTTCCAAAAAGTCAAAAAGTTGAATTTTGAAAAAAAAATAAAAAAAAATTATGACCGTTCTGGTTAGCTTTTCAATAGTTGTAGAGTTCCTGAGAAGGAAAAAGAGAGTTCTGCAAAATTTCGTCAAAACAATATTTTTTTCGTAAAAGTCGAAAAAGTAAAATTTTTGTTCTGGGTAGCTTTTGAATAGTTATGAAGTTCCTGAAAAAAAAAGTTCTGCCGAGAAAAACATTTAAAAAAGTAGAAAAAGTTAGTTTTTTTGAAGAAAAAACTGAAAGTAAAACTGTTATCGAGCTTTGTTTATTAGGAAAAATGGAAAAGGCAACAAAGTCTAAGCGGTAGAAGGTATAGCTGCTATTTCGGAGATCGCCACATCTCCTCATCAGACTACTTTTTCTAGACTTCAGCAGGGATCGAACCCGCATCATCAATGTGCAAAGTCGGAAGCGCTAACCACTGAGTTATGCACACAAGGGCGTCCAAAAAGGGTACAGTGAAATAACTCTCAAATGAATTAAGTAAAAAAAGTGAAATAACTCCCAAATATTTTCCATACAAAATGGGACTTGTTGCATTATGAAATAACTTCCAGTGCGTTGGGACTTATTTCACAATTTTTTGTAGAGAATTATTTCGTAATGAAATAAATCCCAACGAATTTTTTTTTACCATTAGGAGTTATTTCATTTTTGTTGGGACTTATTTCATTTTGTTTGCAATTTAAGCATTGAGAGTTAGTTCACTTTTGTTGGGACTTGTTTCATTTTTCTTAAAATTATAATTTAACCAATTTCGACGTTTTTCTAACAGTTTCTAAAACTGTTGTAAAGTAAGTTGTAGCAAAACAATGAGTTATTTGTTTTTAAACAATGCGTACGCAATCAGTTCTTGTTAGGATTGCAAAAAGTGCAAAAAAATTTCAAGTCTTGCGTTTGAAATAATGAGTGGCAAAAGAAGAAATAAAAAGAAGAATTAAAAAAATCTGAAGCTAAAGGTAGGATATATTATACGTGTTACGAAACAAGTTGCAAGTCGCGAGTGATTTTGGAAAACGGGCAGTGTCGTAGGGTCATAGACTTCATTGAACATAACCATAGGGATCAACGGAACTTAATCAATGTTTAGATGGCACAAGTATATTAGGCGCTCCTAGTGCTGTCAGCGGAATCCGGGAAAATTTTCGAAACGTGTGCTTGAGGTAAGCTAATAGTCTTACATGTTTTATTTCACATTGGGTGATTAACAATGCTTTTGTTAATAAAGCAACCAGGAATCTACAATAAATATTAATTTCAACAAAGTCAAACGTGGTCTGCAATATTTGACAGCGAAAGTTTTTGCAGCATCTCCGAAGACTCCAACTGATGTAGTTAATGTGGTATTTGCGCACGAGAGAAACTCTGTACTCTTCGAGTTGTGACATCAGACTGTGTATTGAGAACTCATATTGTAATACAGTAGGTTAGCAAATATGTTTACATACATATGTACATATTTTCAAATACATGATGCTACACCTTCCCCTTTCTTAAGAAATTAATAGTACACTATTTCTTCCTACCCTAGAACACTAAATGATATAAAGAACTTTTTTTTTTTGTTTTGGTATCTCTTATTGTAAATTATTTATAGTATAAAATAGATCATAAATTTGTATGAAAAGTATTTAAAACTAGTTTTTTTTTTTGTAATAAGTTGCGCTAGTGCGTGTTTCCTTTCGATGGCAGGACTGCATCCTGGTTCCGCTATTTTCGTTGTCGATTTTTTTTTTTAAATAGCTTAATATGCCTGGTATTTCGTCTATACCATCGGAGCGAATAACGTATGATCGAGGTGCGCTATGCTTTCGGAGGACATATCCAATCTGCCATTTGTTGTTGTTAGGAAAAATTACCCTTTCATTTTCTTTTAGCTCCATATTTCTCTTTCTCGAATTTTTGTCATAATATCTCTTATAATTTTCTTGCTTCATTTTTTGTTGGCTAGCATCGCTACATAACTTGGGCGTACTTTCGTGCATGGGAACGTTCGTTCTAAGAATACGACTTTGTAACAGTTCAGACGGCGTATGCGTCATGTTTTTTGTTGGTGTCGTCCTATATGCTAATAACGCTTTTAATACAGCCTCCTCTTTTTCTGACTTTTTTACCTTCCTTTTATTAGCTCGGGATGTAACTATGTAATATTGATGCGCCTAAAAGATGCAGCGATTTCTATTCTCAAGTTACATACCTGATGACAGTACGAATGGCAATAATAATAGGGAGGTTTTAGTTTTTTAAACTATAATTTTATTAGAATACTCTTGCAAATGTGAACAGCCTTTTCAGCCATTCCATTTGATTGGGCATACCGAGGACTACTCGTTAAAATTTCAATGTCATTTTCTTTTGCAAAGCGGCTACATTCGAATGATCCCAGTGGCATATTATCCGAAACTATAAATTTTATAGTATAAAACGTTGATATCCGAATGTTGAAAACATTTTCAATAGTTCCAAATTAATATCGGGAGCTGCTTTGCCTTTAAGTTTAACTAGCTCTATCCATTTGGAATAGATGTCTAAACTACGAGATAATTTTTTGATTTATATTCTAAAATATCGCATGCAATTTTTTCAAATGGCCGATTTGGAATTTCGTGAGCAATGAGTGGCTCTTTTTGATTCATTGATGAATTCATTTGACATTCGCGACAATGTGAGACCGTTTGTTCAATTTCATTACGTATACCGGGCCAGAATACAGAATTTCTTGCTCTACTTATTGTTTTTATAATATTTACCAAAATTTGGTTCATGAAGTTTTGTTAAAATATCTTTTCTCATCGATTTCAGAATGATAATTCTGTCATTATATTATATCTTCTAGCACTATATCATTTTTCATTTTATAATAGTATCGAACTAACTCAGAACATTTTTCTTTACCATTTGGCCACCCCTCTCGACAGTGCTCCTTAACTTGTTTTAATATTTCATCATTTTCGGTCTCTCTTTGAATTTCCGCTTTCTTTGCATTACTCACGTTTATTGTTAAGATGGATTCAGTTATTGTTTTATCTTCATCCCCTTGCCTACAATTAACCATATAGCGCGATAAATAATCTGCTAACTGAATAGTTTTACCGGGGCAGACTCTAACACTACATCAAAATTCAAGAGCTTCAGTCTCATACGCTGTAATTTTGCTGATGCTATTTTATGAATGTCTTTTTTCATGATTCCTAGCAAAGGTTTGTGATCGTTTACCACCCTAACCGTACGACCATACGTATAGAAGTTAAATTTTGTACAGGCGAATATAATTGACAACATTTCTTTTTCTGTCTGCGGTCAGACTTCTAGATGCAAATGAGATTGGTTTACCATCTTGTAACAGGCAGCAGCCTATACCACTTTGGGACGCATCACATTGTACTGCTATTTATTTTTTAGCATCAAATGGAGCTTCAATATTTGTGTTTACTAAGCACTCCTTGATGTCAGTAAACACTTTATCGTGTAATTCTGTCCACAAAAAAATTGAATTTTTCTTCAGCAGCTCACGCAAGGGAGCAGTTTTTTAGGACAAATGACCGCATATAATTGACAACTCCAAGAAATGTTTGAAGATCTTTCTTATTCTTCGGTCGTCCCATTTCTTTAATAGCAATTAGTCTTTCAGATCTGGCTTAATTTGATTATGTGAAAAAATGTGGCCTAGGTATTTCACCTCTTCTAGTGCAATTTGAATCTTATTAACATTAAACTTAACATTTTTTTCTCTTGCTCTATCTAACACTTTTTCAATGACAAGTCATGCTCTTCTTTAGTTTTGCCTACTGTTAATACATCATTACAGTATACGATAACATTTTTAATGTCTCCACAATTTTCAAAGTTCATTTTTTGGAAGACACTAGGGGCTAATTTTATTCCAAAGGGAAACCTTGTAAATTTATAATTTCCGAAAGGTGTTGCAACTGTGCACAACTTTTTTGATTCAGCGTCTAACTTTACGTGCCAAAATCCATCTTTCAAATCTAAGACACTAAAGTATTTCATTCCGCTGAGCCTCGATGCCACATCAGCAAAAGTTGGAATATAGGCATGCTCATCACAAAGATTATTATTTAATTCTCGCGGATCAATGCAAAGCCTCAGAGACTTGTCAGAATTTTTTTTTCAACAGTTACTAAATGATTCACCCATTCCGAATATTCATTTAGTTTCTCTACCTTTATCCACTAATTCATCTAATTTTTTCTTTAATTTTTTACTTAGAGCAAGTGGCACTCTTCTTGGCGCATGAGCAACTGGCTTTCTTTTTTTTTCTTTTTTGGCGCAGTAACCGCCTAAGCGATTTTGGCCGAGTTCAGCAAAGCACGCCAGTCGTTTCTCCTCTGTGCCAACTGACGCCAATTGGAAATGCCAAGTGAAGCCAAGTCCTTCTCCACCTGATCTTTCCATCGCAGTATGGGCCTCCCTCTTCCTCTGCTACCACCAGCGGGTTCCGAGTTGAATACTTTCAGAGCTGGAGCGTCGGTGTCCATTCGAACGACATGGCCAAGCCAGCGGAGCCGCTGTATTTTAATTCGCTGCACTATGTCTATGTCGTTGTAAAGCTCATACAGCTCATCGTTCCATCGTCTGCGGTACTCGCCGTCGNAAAAGTCTTTCTCTCGAAACACTCCAAGCGCCGCCTCATCGGATGTTGTCATTGTCCATGCTTCTGCGCTATATACCAGCACGTGCATGATGAGTGACTTATACAGTGTGGTTTTCGTACGTCGATAGAGGACTTTACTCCTGAATTGTCTACTCAGTCCAAAGTAGCACTTGTTGACAAGAGTGATTCTGCGTTGGATTTCCATGCTGACGTTATTATCGGTGTTAATTTTATTAATTAATAGTTTGGACTCTCGAGCAACTGGCTTTGCATCTTGTTTTAACTTAATGTTATATTATTTTTCGAAACATCCTAACGCATTAAATAAGTCAGCATATTCTTTCAGTATATACTCTCTATCAACATTAATTTCATCTAATCATAAATTATTAGCAGTCGTTTTCGTGGGCTGTTTGAACGACGGGTTAACAATTTTAAAAAGCATACACGAGTTTAAGCCTAGAATCGGTTTGACGTCAATGTCAACGACAGCAAATGAAAGTATTTTCGACATATTCCTGAATTTGCAAAGCAAAGAACACGTCCCAATTGGCCTAATTATTTGTCCACAAAATTCCCGCAATTTTCCATTCGATGTTTGCAATTTGTACCTAATGTCCATTTTATTCAAAATATTTAATCGTAATATATCTATCTGCGCACCTGTGTCGATTTTAAAGTGGATTAAACGACCAACAACAGCAATATTCTCCGACCAGGGGGAAGTCCTACCATGCTCAAACTCCGCAGTGTTTACATTTTCAATAGAACTGATATAAAAGTCTTCAATTCCAAAGCTAAGTCGTGATACATTCTTTGTCTTGCAAGCATTAGCAAAATGATTTGGCTTAGAACATGAGTTACAAATTTTCCCATAAGCCGGGCATTGTCGAACTCTGTGGCTTAAATTACACTTTTTACAATTAATAATTCCGGTCTCAGCATTTTTATTGTTGTTTTTGTTGTTCATACTGCTGACGTTGCTGTTTGTCGCTTTTGCTGGAGCCCGTGACTCCATTCCCGTTCTTTTTTTTATTGTGTTGTGTACCTGATCTGAAGTTGGGCCGGCGATTGCCGTTGTTTTGCGTTTTTCTCAATTCGTCTACCTCAGATGTTGCTCTATTCATTGTAGTCGATTGCTCTCTTGTCGCTTCGTTTGCTCTGCATTTGTCGACTGCCGAAGTATATGTTAAGTCAGCTACCTCCAGTAGCCGTAACTGTCGTTTGTTGTCGGCAATGCTCATGACAATTTGGTCACACAACATTTCTTCCTCTCTATCCCCGAATTCACAACTCCGTATCAACCGCTGGATATCCATCAAGAATGTGTCAAATGGCTCACCTTCCTTTTGTTTGCGTTGATAACATGAAACTTTCGTAGACGGTATTTTTCTTTGGTGTGCAGAATTTTTCAAATGCCGCTACGACCTCTGCGTAACTTTGGCTCTGGGTTTCAGTCAACTTGA